AGCTTGCTCTCAAAGGAAGGAGAACATATGCTCTACAAAGAAGAATAGATGGAAAAAACCAGAGCATGGAATCCAGCAAGCACAGGACATAAGCTACGTGCTTACAGATGAATCTGTACTCCTCAGAGACATTTCCACACAAGAAGACACAGTGAAGAAGCTTTTCATGGAGATTGTCTCTCAGTATTTACTCTTTGGAACAATGCTCCTACACCATTATTTCCAAATAAAAACTTATAAAATTATAGGAATTTTAAAGACAGAAATGAAAAGGAAAGACAGGATTGAAGAAAAAGACAAAAAATGGTTGGGGCCAACATTTGGCAAAAAATAGGTGAAGATGCTACAAACCATCTCGGGTCAACTTGGAACCAACACGCAACCAAGTGAGGAGACACTGGATGTACTTTGTTGAAGGACTAATTGATTCCCTGAAGCAATTGATTATCATGTGAAATGACAAGACATAAGACAGAGAAGTGAATAGATATATTAGGTATGTCAGTAGAAGAAGTTTCTTTCATAGCAATTAGAGGCCTATAGACAATCAAGGAAAACAAAGTCCTTATGAGCTTACATTGTCCAGGAAGAAAATCTCTGAGAGGAGGTGAGGACTGAGTTGGATGTTGAAGGACAAAGTCAAGGAGGAAGAAAGAAAGGAGAAATCGAGGCCCTCCAGGAGTGAGGACAAGCCTGGCAAAGTCCCAACCATGAAGCTGAGCTGCAAGCACTAGAGGACACAAGTGCCCACACTCCTGTCGGCATTGTTCTGCATCGAGGCTCCACTTACTGTCCACCAAGTATGAAACCGCCCAGCACTTTATGAGGGCACATGCTTTCAGAGATTTCTCTGTCACTGGGTGACTCAGCCATGGCTCTAGTACCATGCGACGTAGGAGGGTTGTTTTCCGAGTGGATGTCCTGGGCATCGCAGGCTGTTTAGCACCAAACCTGGTCTCACCCATTTGCTACCAGGGGCACATCCCTACCCTGTGGGGACAACACAGTATCTCTGGACATGAACAAATGTCAGCAGGGCGTGTGTAAGGAGAGAGAAAATCAGCCCCAGTAGAGAATCACAGATTTGGAAATTAGAAATACATGTTACTAGATCTCCCATATTCCTCTTTTGATACCCCAAAGGGCCAGAAATTCCCACTATGGAAGCCTACAAATATTGAGAAAATGTGGGCATGAGCTAGAGGGAAAATTAGTAATGAAAGAGAGAAGCTCATGGTGTAGAAATCAAATGAACCATATCAACTGTCAAATGTGTGGGGAATTAAATATATAACCACACATTTTGTATAAATGTCAAGTTGTGTAAAGTTCAGGGTTTTAGTGAATGAGCCAAGGAGAATTAGCTGGAGGTGACAACTGATCCTGACTCAGCTTCCAAATCTGGCTCCTTGTCCATAGTCATTAGATGAATCCGGGTTAGATTGGATCAAGCTAATGTTTACTTCCAGGGAACAGAAGGACTGAGGTGGCCCAGGCCCTGGATGTCAGAGCTCCAACTTCTTGCTCTCCCAACCTGGCCCTATGCTGATCCCACAGTTCTCTCCAGAAACATAAAGTATGTGGTGTTAGCACCAGGATGTCAGGCTGATGCCTGGGTTTAGTGCTGTGAACGAGACTTGCCTTTATTAGAGTTTGTATTTGAAATGAGCTTCTCTTTCTAAATAGACCCAGTAATAAAACATGTTATATAATCAGAGACTTCTTTGTAGAATCTCAAAATCTGTCCCAAAAAACAGTTATACAACAACTAATTAGACACCTACTTTATCACTAAGGTCACTCACTCAAAACCCAGAAGAGTACAGGTCATGCCTGTAGGACCTGAACAGGGAGGAAAGAGCCATAGGGTCAGGTGCTGGTTGCCAGCAGGAAGGTGCACAAAAAGAGCCATGGATCTGGAGAAGGTGATCCCTAGAGATTCACAGCCACAATAGAACAAAAGAAGTTGGCTGTCTGTGATGTGGCATCAGGAATAAATACTGAGTTTCAAGCTAAAGGGACTCAGGCAAGGACAGTGGAGAAGTAGACTTCACATGGAGCCAAGACCCGAGCAGAAAACTGTGGGGCCTGCACAGAAATCTACCTAGAGTCGACATAGGGCAGTTGGGCAAGTCAAGGTCACGAGAATCCATCTGAATCAGAAAGTGAAGGTCCATCAGGGTGAAACTAAGGAGGTCAATAGTGTTGAGCACTGTCTCTGATGCTAGAACACCTGGTTCCTTACCTGGCTCTGCCACCCATTAGCTGTGTGCCCTTGGTCAGGTTACTTGACTTCTCTTGTCCCATTGTGTGCAGCTCGTGAGAAATGTTATACCTAACTCATGGGGAGGGAGACCACACATCTCAGTTTGCTCACTCAGGAGAATCCTGTTTTTGGTTGCTGTCGCGGTGTTCCATCCATTTAGTGAGGAAGAAACCTGTGAAGGGTCCAACGTCGCAGCAGACAACAGGGCAGGTCCATAACCATGGGGGCACCAGACAAAGTCCTCACTGAGTCCTGTTCAAGGAGACAGTCTTCCATTTCTTTACGAACATCTTTCACTTGCTTTTGGAATGAAGATCGCCAACCACTGTCACCTGGCAGAAAGTACACACATAAGAACACATCCTTGTTTATGCCTAGCTTTTTCCTAAATCAATATTGTTCTTGACAACTTAAGATCCACCTGATTGATGGAAAGAAATGAGTCTGAAATAATCCAGACAGAGAATAATGCATTCACAGGCAATTGCTTATTGGCTCATCTCTCAGGCTCTCTCATTTGTTTCTTTTTTCTTTACTCTAAGCCAATGTCGTCTCTCTTTGTCCTTCATACCATCCCTGGTAAACTGATGTGGTTTTTGTATCTTATGAGGCTGTCCTGTCCCTCTCTGACACCAAGAGGCACGCTTTCCATGCTTCCTTTACCTTGCCAAGTGCCATCTGCGCTCAGGGCCTCTGTACTTGCCCAGAACATTCTTCCCCAGATGGTCCCCCAGATTTCACTCTTCACTCATGCAAGCTAAAAAGTCCTGGCCTGATAGCCTGCCTGGACCTCCTTGCAGGATGCTGCCCTAGTGGTTTTTCTGTTGTTCATGACACAATCACTTTCCCTTTATGTCATATTCTANTTCACTTGCTTTTGGAATGAAGATCGCCAACCACTGTCACCTGGCAGAAAGTACACACATAAGAACACATCCTTGTTTATGCCTAGCTTTTTCCTAAATCAATATTGTTCTTGACAACTTAAGATCCACCTGATTGATGGAAAGAAATGAGTCTGAAATAATCCAGACAGAGAATAATGCATTCACAGGCAATTGCTTATTGGCTCATCTCTCAGGCTCTCTCATTTGTTTCTTTTTTCTTTACTCTAAGCCAATGTCGTCTCTCTTTGTCCTTCATACCATCCCTGGTAAACTGATGTGGTTTTTGTATCTTATGAGGCTGTCCTGTCCCTCTCTGACACCAAGAGGCACGCTTTCCATGCTTCCTTTACCTTGCCAAGTGCCATCTGCGCTCAGGGCCTCTGTACTTGCCCAGAACATTCTTCCCCAGATGGTCCCCCAGATTTCACTCTTCACTCATGCAAGCTAAAAAGTCCTGGCCTGATAGCCTGCCTGGACCTCCTTGCAGGATGCTGCCCTAGTGGTTTTTCTGTTGTTCATGACACAATCACTTTCCCTTTATGTCATATTCTACTGCAGGCTTGTGTGTTGACTTCCTGTTAGAGGTAAGCTGCAGAAGTGCAAGGTTCTGGTCTAACTTGTTCCTACAACTGAATCTGTGACACGTAGCACAGGGCTTAGTCATAGGGTAATCATGGTTGTTATGAACATGGATGGATAAATGAATGGATGGAAGGATGGATGAATGGATGATAGATGAATGGATGGATGGATGGATGGATGGATGGGTGGGTGGATGATAGGTGAGCAGATGAAAACCTCTGATTTAGTCACGATCACCCTTTCTATGCCCTGTGCTGGGCTTGTACACTGACTGTCTGCTATTCTTACAAAACCAGGCTTGGTATCATTGTGCCCCCTTTAGAAATGAGCAAAGGGAAGCTCGGGACAACTAGCACCAACTTCCCCAAAGACACTTCATGATGAGCAGCTGCATCCAAGATTCACCCCACATCTGCAGGAGCCCAGACCCACCATTCAGCGCCGCCTCCCTTAAGCACCTGTAATTCTACTTCTCACGTCAGCTACTGAATCAGAGGACCAAAACCCCAGAACGCTAACAAAACTAAACAAAAATTAACTCTACATTTATAACTAAATTTATGAAATTGACTTAGCTAAATGAGATAGTCTTTGTAAAAACAGCCCTCGAAGAAGGTGAAGAATTATAGTTCTTTTCCAACAAAGGTATCTGACGGGTCAAGTCTATGGGTGTGGAACGTCTGCCCTCCACAGGCACTATGTGGTATCACACCCAGCCTAGGTTTCTCATGACTCAGGAGGAGCAGAAAGAGGGTAAGAAGAGTTTTACACCTTGAAGAAACAGACCAAAAAGAGGAGTCTCGGGGGTGTGGGGAGAGGACGAGGTCAAGGGGAGAGCAGGAGTGGCAAGGGGAAGGAGACCTGCAGGAGGAGAGAGAGGTAGTGAGGACCCCAATAACAATAAAACAAAAATGACAGCACAGGCTCAGGGCATAATTTGCTTTTATTTAGCAAGGCCTTCAGCATTAATTTCACCTAATGTCATTTCCACTATTGCAGCTCTGAAATTTCTAAGGGTTTTTAAAGGTTCTGTCTCCTTGGTTTCTACAAACAGAGCACAGGCTGGCTGGGTTCCAGTTGATTCTCGAGTCCTTCCTGGGGCCCAGTGCCAGGTTTATCTGGTGACGCATTCCGCCGTCATTGGCAGGGATTCGGGTGCCCACCAGGGGAATAAAAGGAGGAGTCTGGGCCCTCTCCTCCAAAGTGAGTCAGTCTCTGCTTCCCTGCCACATCGGAGTGACCGGCCAACAACAGCTGCTTGAACCATGAAGCTGGTGACTGTCCTCATGCTGGCTGCCCTCCCCCTGTCCTGTTATGCCGGTGAGTACTGACAGGGCCAGGCTGTGGGTGAAGGCTGTTGTCAGGACCCCTGTGGAAGATCTCCTGCCCCNGCTGACAGGGCCAGGCCGTGGGTGCAGGCCTTTGTCGGGCCCCCTGTGGAAGATCTCCTGCCCCCAGACCCCAGTGCAGAGCATCTCATTTCTCTGGTGTCTTCCTTGTTCGTGGTTACATAGTGTTTGGTTTCTGGGTTGTGGAAGCCAGGCAGCTGGGAGTGGCGGTGGTCGGGGGGAAGGAGGCAGATGTTTTAGGGCTTAAAGAAAATCTCAGATCCTGAGATTACTCTCCTAGAATTGAGGGCGCAGACCATTGCCCATAATCTCTCTGAATATCTGTCTCTACTGGGGTGTAAGAGGAGGACAGGCATCGTCGCTATGTCCAACAAGGATGTGGTACCTCTGTGATCCAGCCTGCTTTTGTGCACTTCCACCCCAGGCTCTGGCTGCCCCCCTTTGGAGGATGTGATTGAAAAGGCCATTGATCCTACAGTGGACGAAACACAGTACATCCAAGATCTTCAAGAGTTCATACCAGATGATGCCAGCGCCAATGCCCTAAAGGAAGTGAAGCAATGCTTTCTCAGCGAGAGTAACGAAACTCTGGACAACGTCAGAGTGATGATGGTAATCTTGGTTTGTTCCTAACAGCTTTTACAGCACTGCACAGGGACAAGCAGGCTCCCAGGTTGTTGCCTTTTGAAAGCAAGTGTCGATCACACGCCATTATATCAGTGAATTTAGTTGTTGGTGAGTGTGAATACTTTGACATCCAGAAAGCCACCCAAGGGCTGGGGTTGGTTTGCCTGCTCACATTGTGGATTCTGTAGTGAGTGACGCATGGAGAGGGGAAAGAGGGCTTGAGCAGAGGCCTACCTACCTCTCAGCCTCTCAGAGACATCTGATTCTCAAGAAGACCCTCACTTGTAAGAGTGATCAGCAGGAAACAAACAAACAAAATACTCTTGTTCATCAAAGCAACTACTGAAACACTTTAAAGAATTTTCAAGAGTGCAGAAAATTCCATTTCAGGAAGATGCCTTCCGTCTTATTACTGCCACCCCCAAAGCACCTTCAAGCAACCACAGTTTGCTAGTGTGAGTGAGTGCATTTCTTGACCATGAATTAAAGCCCCATGAGTGACAAGAGGACACCATGGCTATGCATCCACCATGGGTGATGGAATTGTTGAAAGCAAAAATCAGTAGTTAAACAATGAGATCTTTTCTATTTAGAACAGGTGTTGTTTAGTTTTTTTTCTAGTATTCATTCCCTGCCCTAACATACAACTAAAAACATTCCAGGGTAACAAGTTAAAAATATTGCCACAGCACAAAGATAAAAGTCTACATTGCTCAGAATTTTCTGACACAGGGTTTCTGACAACATGGATAAATCTGGAGGAACTTTGATTAAAAAAAAAAAAAAGCCCAGTCACGAAAAGAGAAATATTGCATTTTGTGTAGCAGGTGATCCCTGAGAAACAGAGGTAGAACTGTGGTCTCCAGGGCGGGTGGTGAGGAAACCGGGAGCTGTTCAGGGTCTGGCGCTGCACTGCAACAAGGTGAGAAGGTCCTGGAGGTTGGTTGCTCTGCAGGGTGAATGTTCTTAACACGACTAAACTGTACCTTTAAAGTGGTGAAAATGGTCATATTTATGTTACATGTATTTACCATAATTACAATTTGAAAACACTAACAAGCCTTTCAGTGAAAGGTGATGGGATTTTCCTTTGAAAACCCAGGTCAGACAAGTCACTGGAGTGCACGTCTCCCAAGGTCTGTAGCCACAGGGACGTGGGAGGCCTCAGTCTGTCTGCTCTCTTTCTACATGTAGGCCGTGCAGGATCCCAAAATGCACATGTTCTTGGGCTTGGGCTGAGATACTGAAAAGTGATAACACAGCATATTTATTGGATATGTTATTTCAAGGAAGAGGAGACATGCAGATAAGATCATCAAAGGGATCCCTGGTGGGGACCAGATCTGGAAGCAGCAGCACGTCTTTGGCGTCAGGAAATGTCTCCTGAGCAACAGAACAAATGAGATCATTTTGACTTGGCTTTCAGCACCAGCTCTCTGTCGATGGCTGTGGACAAGTCCAGGAAAACAATGAGAGGCCATGTTTGTCTTTCAGGATTTTCCTTTGTAAGGGGAATTGAAATGTGAGTGATGTCTCTGCTTCTGTTTTCCAGGAAACAATATATGACAGTAAATGGTGTGCTAGGTATTAACTTCCCACCAGACCTTTGGCTCAGACTGCAGAGATGTCAGAAACCGGCTGTCAATGGGTGGAAACCACACCAAGCTTTCTTTTTTGTCTTTTGATCTTCAGCCTGCAAGACAGTTGTTGAAACATCACATACATTTTCATTTCAATAAAGAAGCTGCAAACCTAAAGTTCCTTTTTGGTTATTGATTAGAATGGAGACTCTAGAGAGACTCACATCACACATGCGTTCCTCACACACACCCGCACACACACTGGGACTCAATCATTCATTATAGAAATCCATCATTCTGAGTATTTTCCAACCACTGTTGGTGCATTTAAGCAAACTTTGCCTCTCATGAAGTAGACTCTTGAATTCCCCCACTTTTCACAAGGTACGTGAACAGCATGGCAATAGCCTGGAATAGACATGATAATAAACCTTTTCTTTCTAGATCTTTGAGGATGACAGGAATAGAAATGACATATGGTGTTTGCCTACAAAAATCAGCCATTTGCTCTAGGTAGAAAGGATATTAAAAACAGTAACATAGCCAGTTTTTCTCAGTGGTTAGAGCATTGTTCCGTGTACCAAAGGGTCACAGGTTTGATTCCCGGTCAAGGGCATGTACCTTGGTTGCAGGTTTGATTCCTGGCCTAGGTAGGGCACATGCAGGAGACAACTAATAGATGTGTCTCTTTCACATCATGTGGATACTCTCTTCTCTCTCTCCCTTGCACTCACCCCTTTCCACTTTCTCTAAGGAACAAAGGGAAAAAATATCCTCAAGAAAGGGTTAACAAAACAAACCAACAAACAAAAACAAAAAACCACCAGTAACATAATGAAGCAGAAGAAAGAATATGTAACATCATAGACAACTCATTTGAAATTGTGTAGTTAGAGAATAAAAAAGATAAAAGATGAAAATGCTTAAAGAAAGCCCTCAGCTCTACTGGGATATTATTAATTAAAGCAGTGCTTGCATTTTGGGAGTCCTAGAAAGAGTAGGGAAATAGAAAGTGGTAGGAAAAAAGGGTCTTTGATCCTGATGATAGGAGCATTGTGGAAGGTGTAAAAATGTGTTTTTATAATTCCATGTAAAGTTCCTGTCCACTCAAATGAAACCAGTCCATGGCAGTTACTGTGCTCTGTACAGGCCCATGATGGATCTCAGAAGGATTGCGGGGGTTGGAATGAGCGCCTGTTCTTTGTAGGCCAGTCTGGTGCTCAGACCTTTAGACTCACTGTAAGTCCCCACTGCCAGCAGAAGACCAAAGAGTGTGACTTGTCAATGTACAGCGTGACATCATTAAAAACTGATGCTAGCCACAGAGACTGGCCTAGTCTCTGAGCCTGGGAGAGGCCTGCCTAGCCCCAAAGAGCAGTGCAGAGCCCCTCAGAGAGCCAAGAGAGGGCTGCCCAAGCAAGGTCTTTATCTCTGGTTCTGCGCTTCACCCCTGCTGTGGTACTTTCTTGGAACCATTGTTCAGAATCCCCAGTCCATTCCTCCCTTCCAAGCTGGTGACCACTTTGACTAGAGAATGGGAATCTCAGTGACTACAGTCATATTTCTCCTTCTGACTCCCCAACACAAGGCCTTCTACTGCTTCATCAAAAGGTCTACTCCACCTGCAAAAATATAGACCCCTCTTCAAATGGGCCAGGGTCAACCACTGAGCAAATGCAAACTTCTGCATATGAGTCAAAGCACCAAGACCGAGCATGGCCCATGAGTTCTTACTAAATAACTGAGTGTGCATGTGTGCGTGTGCATGTGTGTGTGTGTGTGAGAGAGAGAGAAAGGTAAAATATAAGCTGTGGGTGTGGGGAAAGGGTCATTTTGCCTGGGCCTAATGGTGTCACGAACCCGGAGGTGTTTTGGGAAGTAGGAGGGAGTTCAAGACAGGATTCAGCCCTGCTTTGCCTGAGTCACTTCTCTCACTAGCTCTGTTCCTCTCCCTGCACCTCGGGTCAGGGACAGAGAGCACCCAGGGAGGAGCCTAGCCCTGGTGAGCAGGGCATAGCCTGCACATGAAATGGGTGGATCCGGGAACCTGAGGCCCTGAGCACTGCCCAGATGGCCCGGGGGGTTGGGGGTGATGAGGGGAGGACAATACTTTTCCTGAGACAGGATCAAAGCTGGACTACGGATGGTAAGGAGCAGAGGACCTTTCAGATTCTCTGGCCTTCAGTCATGGGGTCTGTAATGAATGATTCAGTTCCAGTGTGTGTGCGGGTGTGTGTGAGGAACGCATGTGTGATGTGAGTCTCTCTAGAGTCTCCATTCTAATCAATAACCAAAAAGGAACTTTAGGTTTGCAGCTTCTTTATTGAAATGAAAATGTATGTGATGTTTCAACAACTGTCTTGCAGGCTGAAGATCAAAAGACAAAAAAGAAAGCTTGGTGTGGTTTCCACCCATTGACAGCCGGTTTCTGACATCTCTGCAGTCTGAGCCAAAGGTCTGGTGGGAAGTTAATACCTAGCACACCATTTACTGTCATATATTGTTTCCTGGAAAACAGAAGCAGAGACATCACTCACATTTCAATTCCCCTTACAAAGGAAAATCCTGAAAGACAAACATGGCCTCTCATTGTTTTCCTGGACTTGTCCACAGCCATCGACAGAGAGCTGGTGCTGAAAGCCAAGTCAAAATGATCTCATTTGTTCTGTTGCTCAGGAGACATTTCCTGACGCCAAAGACGTGCTGCTGCTTCCAGATCTGGTCCCCACCAGGGATCCCTTTGATGATCTTATCTGCATGTCTCCTCTTCCTTGAAATAACATATCCAATAAATATGCTGTGTTATCACTTTTCAGTATCTCAGCCCAAGCCCAAGAACATGTGCATTTTGGGATCCTGCACGGCCTACATGTAGAAAGAGAGCAGACAGACTGAGGCCTCCCACGTCCCTGTGGCTACAGACCTTGGGAGACGTGCACTCCAGTGACTTGTCTGACCTGGGTTTTCAAAGGAAAATCCCATCACCTTTCACTGAAAGGCTTGTTAGTGTTTTCAAATTGTAATTATGGTAAATACATGTAACATAAATATGACCATTTTCACCACTTTAAAGGTACAGTTTAGT